CTTGAGCCGGTGAGATTAGAACCGCTGAACTGCAGATAACAGTCAGCTGAAGTGGCCTGCAGTGCTGCACTCTAACCACTGCACCACCTCGGCTCATCAAAGGGAAGTGTGCCATTGCTTTCCCCACAATGCCACCCATGGTTGCCACTATTCTTCTCAAATGTGGCCTTGCCTCCTTGATCTCAAGTCCCATCATGCTGGCCTTGCCAGCTCTCCACCATGGCACAAGCCACAAGCTGACACCTCTGCCCCCACTTTGCCTGCAGCACCTCCCCTGCCATCCACCAATTTAGGGGCCACAATGCCCCCATGCCCAGCCACATGATATCCTCCTGTCCTCCACAGCAGCACATCTTCTGAAGGGCCTGCTTAGGGTTTTGGGCAGCTGGAGACCCTCCTTCCCTCTCTCTGGGACTGTAAGGTGCCTGAATTGGGAACAGGGCAGCCTGAAAGCTTCCATCACCCAAAAGTCCTCCTCTATTGAGCCCTGAGGGCATCTTCAGAGGGAGATGCGGGTAGAAGTAAAGGTATAGGCACAGGAACTTTTCAGAGGAACCCGTCTCTCCAGCTGAGTCAGCTTCCTGCTCCCATTTTGGGGAAGTCGTGGGAGGGAGAGCCCAGAGTCATAGCTCCCAAGGAGGTCCCACAGGAGGGAAGATCAATGGGCTCCAACTTGGCCACCTTCCAGAAGCATCTGAAGATGGAGCTTTTCCAGAAGCCATTTGGATATCAGTGCCAGTTTTTAAGTGGCATTGCATACTGTTTGTACTGTTGATAAATTTTCTACCATTCATTCTGAGTGCTGATGGCCAAATATGGCTTTCTCAGGCTCGTGCCTCGGTGTGCACATTTTCAAATAAGACAAACCAAGACAGGAAGATAATTTTATTACAATTTATTAGAATATTCAGACAAAAGGGATGCCTCATTCAAAGAGGGAACCCCGATTTTTAGCTGCATCCCCTTTTATAGTTAACATAACAAAGAAACCTGAAAGAGGAAAGTTGATTGGATGGGATAATAGCATACATTGTAAGGAGAAAGGTTGTTTAGGGTTCACAAGAGATAAGCCAGACCCCAATTTGTACTAACAAANGGTACCCCACTGTTTACTCCCCTCCATGTAGATGTAGTACCATTAAGGACTACTCACTGAGTATGGTTTGTCAGCCAGTTACAAATCCATCTGATAGTGATGCTGTCTATCCTACTTTTTTTAGCTTACTAAGAAGTAGGTTGTGGTCTACTCCTCGCTGAAGTCTAAATATATTATGTCCATGGTATTTTACTGGTCTACTAATTTAGTCACTAAATTGAAGAATGAAATAAGATTGGTTTGGCATGATCTGTTTTTAACAAATTTATGTTAACTTCTAGTTTACTCCTTTCTAGATGTTGACAGATCTGTTTTTTTTTATTATCTTTTCTAGTATCTTCCCAGGTATTGATGTTAGGCTGATTGGTCTGTACTTTGGGTCTGCTCTTTGAAGATGGAAATCACATAAGCTCTTTTCCAGTCCTCTGGTAGTTCCTCAGTGGGTCAGGATTTTGGGAAGATGTGATACAGTGAGATGACATCTGCCAACTCTGGGATGTAATCCCAGAATTTCAAGCAGTGAACCTTTGCATGTACAATTAAAACCGACTGTTGAAAAGTGATCAGCCCCCAGGAGATACCTTACAACGGGGTGGGTAATGGGGGTGATCCCGGGGACTTTCCTGGATCAAAAGCGAGAAGCTCTGAATTGGTGTTGAGCTCCCCGGGCGCCGCTCCGCCTGCTTGGGAGCGGAGCTTAGACGAGCTAGAGGAAACGGGCGGGCGGCAGATGGAGCAACCACCCTTCTTCCCTGCTCGGCTCTGGGTTCGCGAAGCGCTCGAGCAGCGCTAAAAACAGCCCGTCGCTTTTCTCTCTCCCCCACCCCCGCCCCGTCCGCAGCAGCGCTACCACAGCAGCGTCCCGTTCCCGGCCGCGGTTAATAACTCCCTAGCCGCCCCGTTCGCGGTCCCTGACGGCGCGTCCCGCCCGTCCCTGTTGGCTGCTTTCTCGCCTACCTGCCGACTTCCGAGCATCTGAGGGTGTCGGCGGCCACAGCCGCATGCCGATAGCGGGGAGGGTCGCACCTGTGGCGGTCGCGGAAGAGCAGCAGCAGCAGTCCCGCGCCCACCGCCAAGACGGCCGCCAGCAGCAGCAACCCCGCGCTCCAGGCAGCCCGCCTCGACAGCCCCATCCTGCCGCCGTGGGCTGCGCGCTCTGCTGCGTCCACCGACGAGGCGCCTTTCGGAGCAGCTCTCGGACCGGGCTGCCCTTCGGAGGCTGGGAGGGAACAGGGACGGGCAGGCCCGCGCACCCGCTCCGCCCCCTCGAAACGCGCCCCGGCCCTTCCTCTCCCGGCGGGCGGCGGGCGGAGAGACCCGCGCTGAGGTTGGGGCTGCAGCTCTCCAAGTTCCTTCCAAGCCCGGACTTCGACGGCTCAGCGCAGGATTGGCGAAGTGCCTCCCTTCCCGGAGCCAAAAGCAAAAGATGGAGTATCTCGAAAGTAGGGGAAAGCACATGCCAGCTGCGAATTCCCTGCTTGGGAGGGGAAAACGGGCTCAGCCTAACCCTGAGCCGTCTCTGTCGGGGACCCTCTTCTCTGGAAGACCCCCAGGACCAGGTTTTTTTAAAATTTATTTATTTATTTATTTATTTATTTATTTATTTATTTATTTATTTATTTATTTATTTATTTATTTATTTATTTATTTATTTATTTNTGTTTATCAGTTTAGGAATGTTAAAGGCTAATAAATCTTGAACATCACTTTAAAAGAAAGAATATAAATCAGATTAAAATACAAACTAACTATGTGAGTTAACAAATAACAAAATTATTTTCCCCTCAGCGCTCACTATTGCAGTGCATTAGTTGCCAAGAATCCATTGGCAATTGTGGTGAGATACAATTTGATGGATAAATAGATAGTAACCAGCATTGGCAGGAACAGCCTTCCGAGAGTGTCTCACCATGGCCAACTTACCACAGCCAATTTGCCATGGCCAAATCAGTGCAGGACAACTCACCATAGCCAACTCACCGCAGAACAACTCATTCCGGGAAAAGAGTTACACAAATATCAAAGAAATAGTGGAATAAAATCATTAAGGAAATGATGCAAAATGAGGGACAGAATGAAACATGCATGGCAAAAATTAAACTAGTTTTTATTTATTTTAAATAATTAAATAAAATTGTTCAATTGTCCCTCTGGGAGTTGTCCCATGGCGAGTTGTCCCATTCCATTCCAGGATCCTGGCTGGCTGTGCCCAGAATAAAAGACTCTGAGGGGCAGGGGGGGGTAGTCCTTCCAGCAGCAGGACTCTTGGGGGGCGGCTCTGGTTATACCCTCGACCGAAAGCAGGAGTTCCAGGGCAGAGACCGGAGAGGCTGGCCAGCCTGCCTTTCCCTCCCAATCATACAGAAGACAGAAGATCAGACCCACCAAAGGAAAGAAAGTGTGACAGATTTGCTAGGGTCTAAAAAATAACCTTTTAAGCAGGAACTGAGATTGACCTGAACTGTCTGGAAGAATGATGCAGCTGGTCAGCTGGAGATAGAAGGGAAGTATAACCAGAACTGACAGGTGCCAATCAGACCTCTAAGGAGAAAACTCGCTGGAGACCATTTTAGGGCTCCTTGGAGCACAGATTTGGAAGAGGAGAGCTTTCATCTTGGACTGATCCTTTGGACTGGCAAATCTACCTGGGAAAGATGGAATCTACACAAGGATGCCCAAGAGTTCAAGTTTTAAAAATTAGACAGGGAGGAAGGAAGGACTCAGGAAGGAAGGAAAGATTCAGCCTAATCTTCCTTTGCAAAAAGAAAGAACAGATAAAATGCCAGAAGAAGGCAAAGATTTATGTCTTTATTGGCTTTATGTTCTGCCTGCCCTTTAACAGCACAAGGCAGAGAATGGCTCTCCATCTGCATCTCCCCCACACACCTCACCCTGGCAACAGTCCTGCAGAGTAGATTGGTCTAAACTCAGACAATGAACTTCCATAGTGGAGGCTCAATTCAAAAGTATATTTTCCTGCTCCTGGGTCAACACCCTACCCATTACACCATACTACCTTAAGAGAACAACAGACATCCAGCGTATGACAGGCTGCTCAGTTTGAATGCAACACCTAGAAAGTTTCCAGGGCTGATCATTAAACCCCCCCTACCCTACCCTCCAGCTTATAAGGACATGGGTGGAATTGTAATTACTAGAAGTCAGTGTCAGTTGTCAAGATGGAAAAAACTATTTTGTGGTCTTCTGCATCAGCCTGGAGGTCGGGCCAGGGAATGGGTGGGGTGTCAGGGCCTCTCTCTCTGAAGTGGCAGCTGTGATTGCTTCTCTTCCATTGGGTCACAGGACAAGATAGAGGTCTGGTTGCCCATCACCTTATCTGGGGGCTTGCTCTGGTGGAGCCCCCTAGCCAGCCTAGTGCCCTGAGGAGTTTCTTGGTCTACTGAGAGCCTCTGGGAGGAGAAGCAGCAGAAGGAACGGCACAACCTAGCATAGCCAACTCGCTGCAGGACAACTCGCCACAGGAGAACTTGCTGTGGGTCCATTGAACAATTCTATTTAATTATTTAAAATAGATAAAAAATATTTTAATTTTTGCCATTCACATTTCATTCTATCCCTCCTTTTGCATCCTGTAATGATTCTCTTTCACCATTTCTTTGATATTAGTGTAACTCTTGTCCCATAGAGAGTTGTGCATGGTGAGTTGGCTGTGGCAAGTTGTCCTAGATGCAACAAAAATGTCTTAGCCATCATTTTGGACAGTTATAGGAGAGGCAAGTTGTCCTGCAGTGAGTTGGCCAGATGAATTGTCATAAGCCCAATCGGCAGAAGCCATGCCTAGCATGATGGGGTGGGGGCAAACCCATCCCCCAAACAAGCAGGACTATGTACTCTGTCCCTCTTCATCCTTCTTAGTTTTATTTTAATAGAATTTTAAACTTATAATCCTTATTTATTATTTTAATATTTTATAGTGCATTTTATTGAATGTCAGTAAGCCACCTGAAGTTGTCTCTGGCAAGATGGGCAGCACACAAGTTGAGCCAATAAACAAAGAAGAGATTCCCACCAGTGGAAAGGAGGAAAATGTCCAGAGAGCAACTTCTCCTCGACTGGGCTCTGCCTCCATTCCTGACTTTGTGGAGCTTTAATATGAGGAAGAAGCAAAAGGGAGAAAGAAACATCCAAGCAAGGAAAGGCACAAAACCCACAAGGCAACCGGAGGCTGACCACTCCCCTTCAGCCCTTCCTTGGAGGAGCCCAATTCACTCTTAGACTGGTTGCTCCAATGAGGTACTCTAAACCAAAGGGTGTTGCCATCAGAAATAAGGAAAGTGGGGCTGGCTGTCCCCCACTGGCTGCAAATTTGGAAATTAGTTTTGGGATCATTCCATTCACTTTCTTTGGATTTGATTATAGAATCCTTAAAAGTTGACTTTTCAGTTCTGCTGAACAAACAGTAGATGCTGTTGCCAATTCCTGTTTATTTACCGCTCAATCATAACAGTCTTATACAGATTAATGGCAATTTCTGAGGAACAGAGAAATGTTGTTACAGGATGTTAGTAAGAGAAACCAGAAGGGTTGTGGTAGCTCCTCCCAACTTTGCTCTGACACAGGTGACCAGGCAGAGCAGAGACCCAGCTGCCCAAATGATTTCAGAATGACTTCCTCCCACATTGCACAGGACAAGAATTCTCAACCAAGAATGCTTTGCCACCTAAGCCAATTTGGCTAACAGGCCCTATGGTGGTGAGGGCACTGGAAAAACAAGCAAGCCATCTTCTCACTCTCTCTCGGGTTTTATGTTGTCCTCTGCAGAATATCAATTTCTCTCATGATGAAACTCTTCCCAGCAGATCACCTACCAAAAGACTTTGGATTAGGGGACTGGAGGCTAAAACATTTGAAGAACAATGGCAGGTATGTCTAGTTTAATGAAGAGAAGGACTAGGGGAGACATGATAGCAGTCTTCCGCTATCCAAGGGGCTGCAACAAAGAAGAGGGAGTCCTTCAGAAGTGTCAGTGTATATAGTTCATGAACTGGGATAGACATGGCAACAGGTCAGCCATTGGGGACTGGCTGGAATAGGACATAGTAACAAGGTCAGCCAATGTATAGGCATTGCAATTAAGTAAGCCAAGGAGGGCTGTTTGGAAACTGAAACAGTTTGGAGCCAGGGCATGGCTTAGCACTGCAACTCTGAGTCTGTGCTGAGAACCAAACTAGTCTAGTCTGCTCTCTGAACTGAAACTGAAAACTGTTCTCTGCCTGTTGGTATTGTATATTTACTTATGTGTTATTATCAGGGGTGGGTTCTGCTTTCTGTTACTGCCGGTTCACTCAGGGACATGCTTTGGATGTGCATGCTTGATGTGCGCTATGCACACATGTGCAGTAGTAAAAAATTGCTTCTGTGCATACGCAGAAGCTAAAAACAAGATTGCGCCCCCTAAGCCACCATCAATAGAACCAGTTCAGGAGCCAAATCGGTCCGAACCTGTAAGAACCCACCTCTTGTTATTATGTATATAAAGAGAAGTTATGAATCCTGCTGAATCAATTACCTGTGTGTACTTTCTGGATTTGATTGCTGCAACAAACTCTGACAAGAAGCAATAAATGGAAACTAATCAAGGGAAGAATGAACCTAGAACTTCATTTTCTTCTTGTGCCATATCCATCATCGGACGATGGCGATCGTGTTGGTGATCCTATTTTTATCAACATGAAAAAGTGCTGCTGGTTTTTATCCAAACCGGTTCCTTAGGTTTTGAAGCCATGATGTTCTTGTTCTGCTTGGAACTAAACCTAGAACTAAAGAGAAATTTCCTGAAACAATTGACCAGTGGAACTGCTTGCCTCCAGAAGTTGTGGGTGTTCCATCAATGGAGATTTTTAAGTAGAGATTGGACAGCCATTTGTCCAGAATGGTATAGGGTAAGGTGACCAGACATCCCGATTTCAGCGGGACAGTCACGATTTTTAACAATTTGTCCCGTGTCCTGGGGTGTTTTCAAAAAGTCCCGATTTTCTGGCTTCATGTTGAAAGCCCAGTGGATTTGCTTAA